TGAGCCAAGGAGCACGCCTGAGTCCAGGAGGCAGGTGAAATGAAGCTGGTGTGGCTGAGGGATGTTTTAGTTTATTAGTATAATTAATTAACTTTGAGAATACATATCACATGCAGTTTGTGGGGATGGTACTGCTTGGTGCAGATCAAGAATACTGAGATCACTTGGACTCGGGAAGGGGAACATCACACACGGGGGCCTATCACGGGGTGGGGAGAGGGGTGAGGGATTGCATTGGGAGAAATACCTAATGTAAATGACGAGTTGATGGGTGCAGCAAACCAACATGGCACATGTATACATTTGTATCAAATCTGCATATTGTGTGCATGTACCATAGAACTTAAAGTATAATTTAAAAAAAATTCACATATCCTTTTAATAAGATTTGACTTCCAAGTTAAATAATGTACTTATGAAAACAAAACAAATCAAAAGTAAACTATATAAAATTTTTATTTAGTTTTTTAAGTTTTTATTTAATTTTTTAAATTTTTATTTAGCTTTTTTTTTTTTACTCTAAATGATGTTTCTGAAGTTCCAACCTCCACAGATTCCTAGAACATGAATAGAATTCAGCCAAACTCTTTCGTAAGGCATAACATGGGAGATATTTCTCCCAGTTCCCAATAAGTTACTCACTTTCCATCTGAGATGTTGACAGCCTATACGTCACTTTCCATCTGAGATGTTGACAGCCTATTCATAACACCATCAGCATTTTGATCACAACCATTGAGCCAGTCTCTATAAAGCTCGAAGCATTTTCTAATCTTCCTGTTGTGAACTCCCAAAATCTGACACAGGTCTCAGTTAACTTAGAAAGCTTATTTTGCCAAGGTTGAGGAGGCACATCTGTGACACAGCCTCAGGAGATCCTGATGACATGTGTCTGAGGTGGTCGGGGTACAGCTTGGTTGTACACATTTTAGGGAGACATGAGACATCGATCATCATGTGTAAGATGCAGGTCAGTTCAGTTTGAAAAGGTGGGGCAGCTCCAGGTGAAGGCAGGACAACTTGAAGCGAGGACGGGGCTTCCAGTCTTAGATAGATAAGAGACACATGGTTGCATTATTTTGAGTTTCTGATGAGCCTCTCCAAAGGAGGCAATCAGTATGCATTTATCTCAGTGAGCACAGGGGAGACTTTCAATAGAATGGGAGGCAGGTTTGCTCTAAGCAGTTCCCAGCTTGGGTGGGGTCCCAAGATCTATTTTTCTTTCACACTGTCTTCTCCTGAGCCCCCCAAACCCTTCCAACCTCTGCCCATGACTGAGTTTCACAGCTGCTTTTGTACTATCAGGTATCTTTTAGCAAAATACTTTATTTCTCAGCACCAGTGATCTGTGTTTGGACATTCTTGCATTGCTACAAAGAAACACTCGAGGTTGGGAAATTTACAAATAAAAGAGGTTGAATTGGCTTATGGTTCTGCAGGCTGTACAAGAGTCATGGTGCCTGCATTTGCTTGGTTTCTGAGGATACCTCAAGGGAATTTTACTTGGTGGAACATAAGTGGGAGCAGACATCTCTCATGGGAGAGTGGGAGCAAGAAAGAGAGTAAGCGGGGAGGTTCCACACATCTAGACAATCAGATCTTGCAAGAACTCACTCACTGTCATGAGGACAGCACCAAGCCTCGCAGAATCCTCTCTGATGACTCAACTACCTCCCACCAGCTGCCTCATCCAACACTGGGGAATACGTTTCAACAGGAGATTTAGAGGACGCACATCCACACTATATCGGGAGGTGTGTGCCTTGCAACCGGCAGGGGATACCACAGGACTGCCCTATGGTCCCTACACAGCTGCTTAGGAAGAACCATTCACTCCAAGGAACCTGTGCCCTGTGCTCAATGATGGGGACTCAGGAGTTGTGTCCTCTCTGGCCTGGCAGAGTCCCCTAAGCAGAGACCTGTGTACAGTCTCAGCAGGTGCTTCCTCCCAGGGCCCTCCCAAGGGGGAACCAAACCTTCCTCCTCCTCAGGCTGCAGTGTGAGCTGAGCTCCAGCCCCAGGGCTCAGGGAGGGGCTGGGCAGTCCTTGGAAGGAAACACATTTGCATGAGCAGCCCCTCCTCTGGCAGAGGGTGGAGAAGAAAAGGAGACCTGGGGCAGCCCAGGCCCACTGGTAGGGCTCAGGGGCTCTGTCCACCATGGCCTGGACTCTTCTCCTTCTCATGCTCCTCTCTCACTGCACAGGTAGGGAAAGTCCTTATAAACTGAGGCTCAGTGTCCAGCCTACACCATCCCCTGTGGTTCAGACCTACGAGAAACTTTACCCTAGGAACTGCCTTATTACCCATGATGTCTGTGTTTTCAGGTTCCCTCTCCCAGCCTGTGCTGACTCAGCCATCTTCCCATTCCGCATCTCCTGGAGCGCCAGCCAGACTCACCTGCACGCTGAGCAGTGGCTTCAGTGTTGGTGACTTCTGGATACGGTGGTACCAACAAAAGCCAGGGAGCCCTCCCCGGTATCTGCTGTACTACCACTCAGACTCAGATAAGCACCAAGGCTCTGGAGTTCCCAGCCGCTTCTCTGGATCCAACGATGCATCAGCCAATGCAGGGATTCTGCACATCTCTGGGCTCCAGCCTGAGGACGAGGCTGACTATTACTGTTGTACTTGGCATGGCAACTCTAAGACTCACACAGTGCTCCAGACCCATGAGGAAGTCAGACAAAAACCTCCCCTCTACTCTCCTGGCCTAGTGAAGTCACCCCTGCTGGTGACTGTGACCAAATCTAACTCAGGGGGTGACATCTGTTGTCACACCAACAGCACTGGAGCTCCCACTGACAAGCAGGTCTAACGAAGTCCTACCTTGCTCACATTTCACAGGCAGACATCCCTTGCTCAGGGGTAAAATCTCTCAGTGTTGACATAGAAGAAGGCAAGAGGGGTGGGTTGGGGTTCATCTCAGCTCAGAGTCTAGAAGTGACTCAGAGATGCTGCTGGGCTGAGAGTTTTAATATGAGCCTTGGGATACAATACAGGGATGCAGAAGGGAATTGTATTCTCCATCTCAGTAATGAACCATCAGTAATTGAAAAGTCAATACATTGAAAATAGCATAAAACATGAACTACTTTAGGATAAGTATGACAAAAATTGTTGTTTTACACACTAGAAGTCATAAAATATTGCTTAGATGCAAGTCTTAAAGAAGACCTGAGTAAATGCACAGATAATCCTTTTTTTTTTTTTTTTTTTTTTGAGATGGAGTCCTGCTGTCACCCAGTCTGGAATGCAGTGGCATGATCTTGGTTCACTGCAACCTCCACCTCCTGGGTTCCAGTGATTCTCCTGCCTCAGCATTCCGAGTAGCTGGGATTACAGGCATGTGCCACCACGTCTGGCTAATTTTGTATTTTTAGTAGACATTGGGTTTCTCCATGTTGGTCAGGCTGGTCTCGAACACCTGACCTCAGGTGATCTGCCCACCTCAGCCTCCCGAAGTGCTGGGATTACAGGCGTGAGCCAACATGCCCAGCTCAGATAACCTTTTTTGTGTATGTGTGTGTGAGAAGGAGTCAGTCTGTTGCCCAGGCTGCAGTGCAGTGGCGCAATCTGGGCTCACTGCAACCACCCTCTCCCCAGTTGAAGCGATTTTCCTGCCTCAGCCTCCCTGGTAGCTGGGACTACAGGCATGTGCCACAACGCCTGGCTTTCTTTTTTTCTTCTTCTGTAGCGACGGGGTTTCACAGTGTTCGGTCTTGATCTCTTGACCTTATGATCCACCCGCCTCGGCCTCCCAAAGTGCTGGGATCACAGGCATGAGCCACTGCGCCCGGCTGTAAAGAGACTATTCTAACAAAACTGTCTAGCACCTCCCTCCTTGCCTTAGCATGTTCCAGAGTGAGGTCATATCTCTCCGACACAGGAGAATATTGGTGATCTCATCTTGGCAGGTTCTAAAACAGCTGAACATATTCTTACCCTATAATTTAGAAGCCTAGCTGAACTGAATGTATTTCTAGCTATTAACTAAATGAGTTACATGTACCACACAAGACCCTGTACCCAAATGCTTATAGCTACTCTAATCATGATTGTCAAAGCTTGAAAACAACCAACGTGTCCTTCAATAAGCAAATGGATCCACAAGCCTTGGTAACCCATAAAAGAAGTATTTTCTACAGTACAGAAGGAGGATACGGGGCACCAAAATAATATCGCGGAAAAGGATACATGCCATATTGCTAAATGACCAAGCGAAGCCGATCTGCAAAAGATGAAGTTTTGATGATGGTCTGTGGTTGGCGGGAGGGCGGATCTTGGAACCCACGTACCCCCGAGTTCCACATGACTCCCACGATTTTACCAGAGGGTGCTGTGGACCTAAGCACCTGCTTAGGGCTCTTACCTGAGATCCGTTTTCTTGCGTCATGAAGTGTTTCGCGCCCTCTCTGGGGTGAAATTTTCTTCTTCCTAGATAGTTCTTTGTTGTCTCCAGCGTACGTTCAGACGAGGTCAAAGGGGGGTGGCTTGCAAAGCCCTCCAGGAAATGGGAAAAGGATTTGCATCGTGAGTCCTCCCCCTGGATGCAGTGTGATGGATCAAGAAGTGACGGTGAGTTCAGCCCTGCGCAGTGTGGCTCGGTGCGCAGCAGAGCCTGGGGCATCTCCACTGTGCCTGGGCTCCATGCATCCTCACTTTCCTCACTCATTGCACAAGTGGCTGCCTGCAGAGAATTCAAGGGAGGCTCCTGGATGTCCCCTGCGATGATGACCTCTCCCTCCTCTCAGCAGACCTGATCTGTCCTCACTGTTCTCTGTATTGTTCCCTTCTTGCAGGGTCTTGGTAGGAGGATGTGTTCACTCAGTCCCACTCTGTGTCAGGATCTCTGGGACAAAAGAACACTATCTTTGGCACCTGGAGCAGTGGTAGCATCGAGAGCAAATATGTGCATTGGTGCCATCAGCGCCTGGGCAGTGCCCCCACCACCATAATCTACAATGATAACAAAAGACCCTTCCATGTTATGCATTGGTTCTCTGGCTCCAGCAGCTCCATCCAACTCTGCCTCCCTGGCCATCTCTGGGCTGCAGTCTGAGGATGAGGTCAACTACTCCTGTCATTCTTGTGATCGCAGCGGTAATCACACAGTTCTCCAGACCCGTGGGGAAGTGATACAGAAACTCCCCAGAGTGACCCCACCCCGGCTCAGCTCTCAGCCTGACCCCATCAGCTCTCTCCAATTTCCTGCCTGAATGCTGGAGGTGGACTCGTCCACTCATGACTTCCCCAATTTTCTCTCCAAAAATACCAAATCTCTCCCTCTGTATCTTTATGAGTTATCTTCTCATACCTTTACTACCAAGCCTCTCCTCTTTCCCAGGTACAAGTCAAACAACACGGCCTCCCTCACCACTTCTGGGCTGAAGCCTGGCGACTGTGCTGATTTTTACTGTTTATCACAGGACGGGAACCTTGAGGACAGCATTGTGTAGGGGCTCATGGGGAAATGAGATACAAACCTGTGAGCTCCTCCAGCCTATTCACTGCACTGAGGAATCGTCCAGTGGACCTCTCAGAAGACATAGAAGACATGGTGTGGGCTCCTTGTGGACACTACTGGACATTCGAAGGGGCTCTTAACTAAAGGACCTTTTTAAAGTTGGGAGTACTAACAATGCTCCACAAATTCAGTGAAGACTGTTTAGAATTACTCATTCAACTAATATTGACATGCAGCCCAATTCTAAAGTATTTTAGGATCTGTTTAATGATAAACATTACACAGATTGTTAATAGTAAATATCATAAAGAACAGAGAGTCTAGATATGTTTACTTAACCTCTGATTTCATTTCATAGAGAAACTGATAAAAAGAAGGATGCCTGGAGTAGCTAAAAGATGGTTCACTTATTCATCTTTTTTGCTAACAATCTTTCAATTCCACGTAGTGATCAATTAAGGGGACTGTGCACCATTACAGTGTGCATTGACCCCTTGCTGTCATTTCTAGCACAGGAACAGCAACGCCGCAACACAACTTCCTTCTGTGGTTTTCCAAAGGCCAACTTTCTCAATGCTGCCTCTAGAGCTCCATCCCCTCCTGTTTCTGCCACTCACCATAATCAGGTGTGTGAGGAGAATTAAAGTCTGTCATGGGGACACCTATGGAGTTTTCTCCCTAGACAGGGTTTGTGAAGGGAAAGCTTTAGGTCACAGATGTCTGACCTTAGAGGCCTAATAAGAGATCTAATATGATATCTTTAGTATTAATGGAGGTGAGCTATAAGGAGGAATGATGATAGAATATGCCAGGTGTTGGTAATAGCATTTGCCAAGAACAGGTACAAACAGCTGCTCATTTAACTAATTAATATGACTTGTGTTTGGCTTGGGTATGGCAGATCTCAGTGGGGACAGGATCAGGGGAAGTGATTCTAGATGTGTCCAGGTGAGAGAAAGGTGTCACGGAAACAGATCACGAAGAGAACAGATGCTGAGAAGTGTGCACATGATCACAGAGGCCACATGGAGTCACTGAATTATCCTTAGCTGGTATTTATGAGCTCTTCAGGTGCAGAATGGAGGATGGACTGCAAGGTAAACTGAGGCAACACCAGAGACAGGCAGACTACTTATGTTTCAGAGGAAATAATTCAGGATGAGATGATGGTGTCCTTTTACAGATTCGTAAGTGAAAAAAGTAAAAGGAGCAATTTTAGACACAAAATGAAAAAGTAATTGGTAAAACAAATGAATGAGATTGAGACGCTATTGGGGGTCCAAAGGAAATAAACATCTAAGATGAGCACCACATGTCCGGTTGGGGCTTTGTAAGGATTCTTATCCACCATCTAAAGGATGGGCCCTGGGGTCATAGATTTGTGACAAAATATATGCCACTTACGTTTGTGATTTCCTCAGTGTTCCGCATTGGTTCTGTGCTGATTTTTACTATTTAGCACAGGACGGGAAACTTGAGGACTGCATTGTGTGGGAGCCCATAGGGAAATAAGATACAAACGTGTGAGCTTCCTCCAATCTATTCAGTGTACTGTGGAACGGTCCAATGGACCTGTGGGAAGACATGGTGTGGGCTCCTTGTGGACACTATCGGATGTTGCAGAGGAAAAGTAATTTTGGAGAGTTCCTTCAGGGTAGAAGATGAAAAAAGGAATGTATAGTTTTTTTTAAAAATTGTATGTCCTTTTGTGTTTTATGGAGTCTTAAAATAACCATGCATTTATAAACTGTAGATAGTAAATTAGATATGTATATTGCACCTCAATGAAAATAAATTAAAACATAAAAAATAAAATAAGCATGTACTTGTGCTGTGAAGCTGGTTTTGAAAGGGCAGTCAGGATGGGCCAGGCCTCCTGAGTAGCTGGGACTACAGGCATCTACCACCACGCCTGGCTAATTTTTTGTATTTTTAGTAGAGACAGGGTTTCACTGTGTTAGCCAGGATGGTCTGGATCTCCTGACCTCATGATCCACCCACCTTGGCCTCCCAAATTGCTGTGATTACAGGTGTGAGCAACCGCACCTGGCCTACTGTTTTTAAAGATGAAGTCTTGCTCTTGTTGCCCAGGCTGGAGTGCAATGGCGTGATTTTGGCTCACTCCAACCTCTGCCTCCTGGGTTCAAGTGATTCTCCTGCCTCAGCCTCCTGAGTAGCTGGGATTACAGACACCTGTCACCACGCCCACCTAATTTTTGTATGTAGAGAAGGGGTTTCACCATGTTGGCCAGGCTGGTCTCAAAGTCCTGACCTCAGGTGATCCATCTGCCTCTGCCTCCCAACGTGCTGGGATTACAGGCTTAAGCCACTGCACCTGGGCTACCTTTTAC